GAAATAGAAAAATTTGAATGAAAAGAATGAAAATTTGAATATGAAGATGAGGTGGAATGAGACCGGATGAAATAATCCAAGAGACGTAACTATAAATTTCGGAGTACCTCGAATTGATTGCAAAGTGTGAAACCGCAATTTACGCTTCAAAGTAGATACATTTTGAAAACTTTCCTTCTATTTTCAGGAAGAAGATGATCAACTGCTGGAAGCAGACATGGCAGTCATGGATGCCGAAGAAACGAAAATGTTGAATTCGTTGACATGGCGACCATTGGATGGGGACGTTCTTCTGTATGCTTTAGTGGTTGTGGCACCGTACCAAACGATGCAAAATTTCAAATATAAGGTGAAGTTGACTCCAGGAACCGGAAAACGAGGAAAGGCGGCTAAAAGTGCAATAGCATTGTTCCAGGTAATTTTACTGGTCACTTCCCATTATAGCATGCAAAGAATTTTCTGGTTAATCTACTGTTGTAATTATCAAAACTACCGCCCAAAATTAAAATGGGAATTAGCAACCGATGATCAAATTTCAAAAATGATAATTATTAGGATTTCACAACTAATACTGGTGATAATTACATGATCACGATCGGAATTCGGTTATAAGAAGGACGTTTTTACAGTTAAATCTTCGTGGTAGAAATTAGTGTTACTTTGCTATACAAATGGCACAAAATTTATTTCTGATCTTCAGCGTGATAAATCAGCAAATGCACAAGAATTAAATTTGCTAAAAGTGCTGGCAACCGATGATCAAATTTCACGGAATATTCCTGGGAAAGTTAGAGTTTCAGCTCCACAACTGAATAGAAGATAGGATGTATATGATTATAAAATATTTGTATAAACTGTTATTCTGATATAGAAAGGATTGTTAAAAATAAAGGTATCAATGAGCAATGTTTGTAATCACCTAATTATCTATTTTATCATTTTATGACTCTTCGTATATAAACGATAAACTTTGCAATTGTTCATTGTATCGTTGCACAGTTTACAGTTCGATCACATTTTATGATATTTTTCACGGGAACTTTACAATTGTCACTCATAAAGTGCTATCCCTGGTCGGGAGAGAAAGTGAAAGGCCGGAAAAAAGGCCTACAATAATATGTGGTTGGACGGCATCTCTGGATGGATAGGAATAGTTGGACGACGAATCTGGAGAGATGGGAATAGTTAGCTTTGCAATTTCCATTCAGAATATTAGATAGGACCATCGTTGTGGATAAAGAGGGAATCTCTGTGATAAATATGATGCATTGGATTATATGATACGCAATTGTTGTATAATGCTAAAAAATCGCACGGATGGATTCACATGATATCTAATTTTGTAGATGGATGCAGAAGTGAAGGAAGAGGAAAATGAATCACAAGTACCACCATCAAAACGTTTTAGACGTGATGATAATGTTGATCCCACTAATCCGGATCCATCAATAGTTGTTCATGTTCGAAATTTAAGTCCAAAAGCAACTGAAGCTGATCTATTGGAAGCATTGTCACATTTTGGTCCGATATCATATGCTACTTGTATGCCTGGGAAACGGATGGCATTAGTGGAATTTGAGGTTGATATTTCATACTTATTTGAAAAATGATATTGATGTATTGTTTTTTTTTCTATTTTATAGATTATATTTAGTAAACCGTATTCATAACACAAATATCTAAATGAGATGATAATGTTTTAAGGAAGTAGAGGGTGCTCGTTCATGTGTCGTTTATGCGCAAACAAATCAAATTTATGTTGCTGGACAAGCCGCTTTATTTAATTATTCTACATCTAAAATAATCCAACGATTGGGACTTGAATCGGAGTCACCCAATCATGTGCTTATATTGACCATTTACAATGCTCAGTACCCTATTAACGTTGATGTCATCCACCAGGTATTATTTATATTTCCCCTTACTATTTAATATATTTGGAACTTTTGGTTATCAGACTTGTCGATTATCATTACGAATTATTTTCATATATTAGGGCAGAAATGATCCATTCGAGTTCATATGTTACAAAAATGATTCAAAGACGACTCATTCTGATGAATCAGGATTAATAATAGCTTAGAATATCTGTGTGCGAGTAAGGATGTTATTTACTTACTGGTCAGGTAGAATAGGAAGAGCAGTCGAAAAAGCTGAAAATTACAGATATGTGAGCTGCATGGTTTTGTGAAGCGTATTGCTATGATACGTCGTACAATGTTGCAAGCATTGGTTGAATTTGAAAGTGCAGAAATTGCAAAGAAGGCCAAACATGCGATGAATGGAGCTGATATATACTCTGGATGCTGTACGCTCAAAGTCGAATTTGCTAAGGTTATTCATGTACTTTAAATCCTTTTTAAAAATCATTGAAATCTTTCATGTTGTGTTGCCAAGTTATAGTCTAAGCAGTTATTCTAATTGCCTTTTCTGAGAAAAGAGTAGCTCCTGTTGTGGTCTATTAAAGAGTCCTTTGGTATTGTGTAGCAATCATTATTTAATATACTATAAGAGTGTGAAAACGAAGATAGTAATTTAATATAATTGTTGTGATATTTGATGAATCATTTTCAGCCAGAACATGTTAAGGTGACTCGAAATGACAATGATCAATGGGATTACACGAAGGCGCCACAATCAGGTTGTTTGTTAAGAATGTTAGTGATTGTGGGACTGGCGTAGAATATGTTGTTGCAGGTGATTGCAAAGTTACAAGGTATAGTGTGAAAGTTACATCCATACAAACTACATTGACGGTCACTATGAGTGGATCGAAGGTCGGGAAAGCAACAGCAAATTTTACGCATTATCAACACATATAACAGTACCAACATGAAAAGATCGCAGATAACCTACTGATGCATTCCTCAATCGCATTTCTCAACCGTCATCAGTACCATCACCATCATCATCATCATTATTACCAGCACCATCATCATCATCACTATCCATCACCATCACTATCATCAGCAGCATCAACAACATCATCAGCAGCAACATAAGAGGTTCATCGTAGAAGGCATATTTTCTGAGTTGGTGCAAGAAAAACAGTCAAAACAACAGGTACCGATTGCCAATTTAAGTGCAGCTGCATTCAGCATCACAAATATGAAAAAATGTGGCATCGTATCGGAAAACTGAGAAAAACAGATATTTCTCCATATTACCATTATGCAGTACAACTATCATTCGCAACTATTATTGATCGTCGTAAACCGCATAAATGATACTAACAGGGAAGAGAGTAAGCGAAGAGGTAAAACAGGTTGATAGAATTAACGGCATGCAAATGGACACTTAACATGGCGTACATCATTGGAATGCATTGCATACAAAGAATACATACACAGAAAGAAAGGGATATAAGGAAGAAGAAGCTACGAGAACTGTTATGAGAGCTTATCATCGAGCTTCTTAATAATTGGCCTTAAACGTGAACGCATCCCTTTTCTGCAGGTTTCTACCGCAAAAGAGCTTGCGGTGTGGAAGAAATCATGTACCAGTGGTGCTGGCCTACAGGCTTAAGTTTATGTATTATCTGGATAAGGTTCGTTGATACCACTATGTTGCGTTGTTCGAATGTTACTCGGGTCCTGATTGATGGATGAGTCACTGAAGTGAAAAGTGCATCATCTTTCTTTACATTTCATACAAGGCTGCAAAGGTCGGCATTGTATTACTGCATGGTTTCTTTTCGGTTTTATTTACAGGTTGCGCATGATATGAAAAGGTATATTCTATGTGTTATAACTTATTTCGGGATACTGTTTCAGAATATACGGAGGAACCTCGAAAGACATTGCTAAATGATGCGGGACCACGTGGAGGACGTACAGTTTTTCCATTCTATCCAAAATACTGCTGTTTTAATATAGTTTTAATGGTTTGCTTGATACTGCAATGTTTCTTTTTCATTTTTTTTCAGCACCTGGACCACGTGGACCTCCAAGTTACGGTATGTTATAGTACTTTGTGGCATGAC